TCTGGGACTGTGCACATCGTGGGCCAAGGGATACAGGGCAGACCAACGCCGCACAGAAGTATAAATCAAGAGGCTGCGTCCAGCCATTCATTCATTCCTGCGGATGCCATGCGGAAGCGCTGCCTCAGCAGCTTGTGCGAGGAGGTCTGCAGTGTGCCCGAAGACGAAGAGGGTAGTGAAGTGTAGTGTAGCGATAGGATAGTGGCAGCCATAGCTGCCATAGCTATAGTAGCGTGTAAGTGTGTGTGTGTGTGTTGCGTGTAGAGTGTTGCGTGTGGGACATCCAGGGTGATCCAGAGTGCGAACAGTGAGTTGTGTGGGCGCTCAGTCGCCATAGCCAGTTTGAAGGGAACTCCTACCTGGTTACGATATCTTTGAGTACTGTGTGGGCGCATGTCGCCAGTTTGCTGTTTCGCTGTTTGCATGCATGACAAGTGTGAAGACGTCGAGTCTGATTGCATATGGGCCTGGATTGGAAAAAAAAAAAAAAAAAAAAAAAAAATGGGCCTGGGCTGATAGTGAAGGTGGAAGGCCAGTCTACTTTCTAAACATTTTTGTAACAGGGACGCCGGACCCGTTTTCCAGCAGGTGACGCTCCTCACCTATAGATGGAGTCTCCCCTGAGGGAGCTAGCGGTGTCTGCCTTTACCAGCACCACTGGCTCCTGGAGGGATGTTTTTTTGTTATAAAAAAAAAAAGACAGTTCCTCGCTTGGAGAGGTGAAAAGAGCACCCCCTCCTAGCGGGAATCCTGGATGCTCCTGCGTCCCCCTGTGCATCAGATGACCTGCCAGCATTGATTGCCCTGGTTCCGATGATTAACAGTGCAGGTATAAGGATAGATAAGAGCTGGCGATAGCGTACTTTTGGGCGTGGAGCCGCCTCTTCGGCCTGGACCACGCTGCCAGATTAAGCTCATGTCCCTACCGTCTTCACCCGAATAGAACGCCCGGTCATTATAGCCGTGTCTGGACTGAAAATTGCACCACATACGGCTATAATGACCGGGCGTTCTATTCGGGTGAAGACGGTAGCGGCTCCGCCCTTCTTTTCTGGAGGCAGGCTACCGAATACCGGTTGAGTTGGCCAACCCGCCCGTCCCGGCTCTTCCTGCTCCGACGTAGCGTGGCCGGTAAAAAAAAAAAAAAGGCAACACAAGGCAAGCGGGCAGGCAGCCAGATTGAATTGATTCAGTGCGTAGTGACCAATCAAAACAAGTCACAACAGTTCGCGTAACAACTTAGGCTCGTGTACTCGTGTTTTAACAAAATGCATATACTGTTTTTTAACCTTTTTTTTTTTTTTTTTTTTTTTTTTTTTACTTCAAAGTTCAAAGTTCATATGCATGGCATGAGGCAGTAAGACAACAAACAAGACACAAGGGGTTAATGACAAAATGTTTCGTCGGAGTCTCACCGAGTCATCACGAGGCCGAACCCTCGACAGACTCCCAAATCCCCATATTGATGACCTTGGCTGGGGTTTTCCAACCGCACAGCCAGGAAGGCAGGTGGCACTGCAAGTTTTGTAGGACTCTCACCCACCGAGTCGTCATGAGGCTGAACCCTCGACAGACTGCCAAATCCCCATATTGATGCTTTTGAAGTTTCGAGTTACAATCTACCTGGACTGGGGTTTTCCATTCGCACAGCCAGGCAGTTGCCACTGCAAGCAGCCAGGCAGGCAAGTGGGCAGGGAAGCAGCAAAGTCAAGTAACAAAAAAGCAAAAAAAAAAAAAAAAAAAAAGGTGAACAGTAATAAAAAACAAAGCCAAAAAAAAAAAAAAAAAAAAAAAAAAAAAAAAAAAAAAAAAAAAAAAAAAAAAGCAACACAAGGCAAGTGGGCAGGCAGCCAGGTGGCAGGGTAACCGTAAAGCAGAAGGCAGACAGGCAGCAGGGCAGGCAAAGCAGGGACCGCCGGACCGGCATTGCAACACAAGGCGAACAGGTGAGCTACCAATACGGACAAGGCAAGCAAATGAGCAGCCAGGGAGCTAGGGCTCGGTTGGAGGCTCGGTTGGAGTGACAAGATGGTAGTCCGCTTAAACGACCAGTACTTCCGAGGCACTTTTCTCCCGAGGTGGAAACGCACTTTGCGCCAAAAACAACGGACTGGCATGGGGCGCCTTTGGCTGCCGCCACCAGCCATTTTGCTTCACCAGCCGAGCCACGAAAGGTGCGGCAGCATGCAAGCCGTGACTTCGAAAACATGGATGGTGAACGCACTAGGGGTTTAAGTTTGCTTTGAGGTTAGGCAAACACAAAGCCTACAGTCTTCCCCCGAACAAAACGCATGTATGTACTACTCAACGTTCCCAGGAAAAGTCGATTTCTCAAACTCCCTTGAATCCAAGTAGTACTCATGTTCAAATAGTACACGCGTATGTTGTATTTGAATAGTGCGCATGTATGTTCTATTCAAATAAACGAGTGTCTAGTCGAATAGAGCACATGGGCGTTCTATTTGAATTACCATGGGCAGGTGCTTTTCTCAGGCATGAGCCGGGTTTTTGTCAGCAGTGTGCATTTACTTGCATGGAGTTTGAACGGCAAGAGGCAGCTTGTTTAAAAACGTCTGAGTCAATCCTTTCCACGGTTTAGGCAAGCAAGAGAGAGAGAGAGAGAGAGAGAGAGAGAGAGAGAGAGAGAGAGAGAGAGAGAGAGAGAGAGAGA